GTAAAAAAAAAAAAAAAAAAAGAAAGAAAGAAAGACAAAAAAATAAGTAAGTAAATAAATAATTGACATTTTTATTTTTAAAATGCCTCTGTTTTGAGCCAAAAGAATCATTTTTTTGCACGACTTGCGGACTGGCACACAGAAGATACTGTGGCTCTGGAGCGCATGTGTGTAGCCAGGGTCTCTTTGCTCTCACACCACCTCTGCTTCCACTAGAAACAACATAGTGGAAGTTAAGGGGGTGAAACAGGCAGCAAGTCCCAGTTCAGTCAGCTGGACATTGAGACACACAGACCTCAGGATGCCTAGGAAAATGCCACTGAGTCGGAGTGCAACAAACATGGGGCCTAAGGCCTATGGCAAAGAGGAAAACTCCTGCAGGCGACTGGAAATGACCAGCGGCTGATGAAGGAACAGTGGGAGGCGGCTGGCACAGGCTTGATCTGAGCAGGGGCTTTGAGTGCTCTGAGAAAGCAGCCCCATGGCAGGCCAAGAGAATAGGAGCTACGTTAACCTAGAACAGTTAGGTACCTGTTTGGAAATAATAGAAATATATATTTATTTAAAATTATTTCCTGAGGCCAAAAGAAGCAGTGTGCAAAGTGGCAAAAACCTAGATCTTGAACATAAAGGTCAGTAAGATAGGAATTCAAACTCCACTCATCCCACTCCCTGGCCACATAACCATGCACAAGTTACTTTATCTATAAAATGGCAAGAAGCGCATTTAGAGTACAAAGCAATAACCCAAGATAAGAAAAGTGAATCTTATAGTACAATTCCTGCCCCATAAGTCAAAGATAATTGACATTTGTGGTGGTGGGCTCCAGACAAGCAAACGAGGATTTTGTCAGCATTGTTACAAACAGTGAATCGCATATGAACTGATCTTTTAAGTATACAGTCACAACCAGGTTTGAAGTAGATAAATCAATACAATGAAATTTCTATGGTACACAAGTACAGAAACAGGATCTCCCTGAGCTTCAAACAAAAGGCTGAAAATTAACTTAAAATAGTAACTTAAAACAATGTCAGTTCTAATATTTTTCCCAGTGCCAACTTCTAAGTGGCAGAACATAAAGATGCCAAAGGTTAGGTTCAGTTGACTATGTAATGTTTAAATTTTGTGCTGTTCATCCTTATATGGGCCATGCCTGCCCTGGTTTTTGAAGCTTAATTCAAGCATTTCTAATTTTCATCTTTTGAAATAATTTTTTTTTTTTTTTTACTTTTTATTGAATTTATTGGGATGACATTGGTTAGGAAAATTATACAGGTTTCAGGTGCACAATTCCACAACACATCATCTGTACACTGTATCGTGTGTTCACCACCCTAAGTCAAGTCTCCTTCCATCATGATTTATCGCCTCCTATGTTCACTTTAGGTTTTTGCTTCCTATTTTATTTAGAATCTCTTAAACATGTCAGTATAGCAGTTAGCTGTTCATCACTTTCAAGTGTTAGAACCTAAGACTTTCCCTTTCTAAGACTTAAATCTGAATAAAGAATAATAAAAAGAACCACACCAGCATCTTTTTTAAAAATTGAATTTATTGGGGCAACATTGGTCTGCAAAACCATACAGGTTTCAAGTGTGCAACTCAAGAAAACATCATCTGCGCACTGCATTGTGTGCCCGTCACCCCAAGCAAAGTCTCTTTCTGTCCCCATTTTCCCTCCCTTTGCCCACCTCCCC